ATTGATATTTAAAGGTCTTGATCCTTTGGATCATACTTAAAGGAAATGCAGTTTTTGTTACACAAATAAAAGCATAAAATGTACATTTAAGAGATGATAAAAATATTTAGGAAAAAATCTTTCACTTAGAGTTTTGACAAATATTCTACATGGACAGACCTTCAAATAGAAAAAAAATGCGTAAGAGGCCCTTGTGGTTTCCCATTATTTGTTGTGGTAACAGCAAAGAAGCTCTGTTGTATGTATAGATATTACTCATCCTACATCACCATGATATTCTAATTATAACCTTTACTTAGCATTGCTATCACATGCATACTTGTATCCAAAACTGACACAGAGGAACAGAGAATATGAAATCTCCAGGCAAAATGGAAACTCCTGTTTCCCTTTGTCAACTTGGGAGTTTCTAAGAAAAAGAAAAACTGTAATTACATAGCAAAAATTATTACAGAAGTTACAAATACACTATGTCCCTGCAGAAACGATTGGTAGTGACTTGCCTTGCTCTTTACCAAATGATTTTAGGGGTAAGGGGAATCAGTGAATGAGTTAGACTTAAATACAGGAGGGGATTTGCTACACATGGTCTGGTGTGATTCTTCTTGCAGTATAACTGTAACTAAATTACACTCTCATCATCATTTTTAAGGGGGAATCAGGCTCTCAAAATCAGAGTCACTGCTGAAGTTTTCTAACTTTTATCTATTGACCCATATTATAGGCGGTGGTACTTCTAACATTTTTACCTACCAGGATTAATCTTATATTATAATAAATGTGAGCTACGGAAATAATTCCATGCATGCATTCTCCTCATGTCTCAGATCTTTGATTTTTTTGTTGTCTTCTCAGTCAGAATTCCTGGCTGAATTTGTAGAAGAGGTTAGGTATCCAATAGCTTAATGGTGATTGAGCCTTTGCATTAAGGTTTCAGGCAAAGGGTTCTGGCTGGGCTGAGCAAGCTTGGGCCGTGTGACTGTGTGGAAGGATGAGGCTTTCGAGATATGCATTTATGGCCATCTCCTGTATTTCCCTCTTTCTGGCATCTTAAATTCAGGAAGGTAGTAGGCCTGGTGCTTCTTTGCCTGGGGGGAGTATTACTATGTCATCAGGGGAAAGCAGAAGTTGGCTGCAAGATACTTCCCTTCTTGGTTTTTTTATTTCCAAATGTCTAACCCACCCCACAGCCAGAAGTCGTCTCCGCTGGATTCCCTGGAAGAAGAGAACTGGACGTGGCTCTGAGGGGAAAGGGTGCGCGTGAAGAAAATGAGATGTCTGTGCACCTGGCGCTCTTGTCCTCTCTTCCCGGGCAGTAGCCTGAAGAAGTGACCAGACATTTCTAGTTCACCAGAGTCTCCTTCCTGTGCCCACGCGTTGAATGAAAGTAGCAGAGTCCTGGACCCGAGGGACTGAAAGAACAAAGGCAGTGGGCGCCTCCGCAGAACCCAGGTGGGTGGATGACTAACGGGACCTCCCAGTGCTTGGCGGCTATGTGAGGTCTCTGGGCTTCCCCGGCAGGGGGTGGGACAACCGGGAGCAGAGTCCAGAAAGGACTGAGGTTGAGTTTCTGGTCTACCTCGTGGAAGGATAGGCGCCAACTCAAAATTATTTCAAGAAAACACATGTGATGGGGTTGTGTGTTTTTTGCACATGAGAGTTTGAGGATCGAGATTGATAGCCAGAACGACCGAATGTGGATGCTAAAGAAGTACAGAAAGGAAGATCTACCTCCTCTCCGTACTGAAAAAGGGTAGTGGTCCCTTTCACCAACAACTGGTATTCTTTAGGGAAAAAAATACAGTTTTTGTTACTGGAGAGAACCACACATAAGAACTAGTTGTGTTAACGTGAGAATGGGATTTTGAAATACATGTGAAACATTTGGTGTTCCAGTGTACATTCAAATACAAAGACCGATGTCATTGCTCAAACCTCGCCATTCATTTAAGCCGTCATTTCATTCCTCCCATTCATCCTTTTCCCGAGCTCACACACAACATTCATTTCCTGAGCATATTACATTGCCTGTCGTAATACTCACTGTCCAGCTTTTGCACTCGGCTGTATAGCTCATTAGAGAAAGGACTTTGAAAGGACTTATTCTTTATAAAGTGCTGTTATTCCCTTTTTTGTTCAAGTTCTAAAATAGTGTGATAACAAGAACAGTAAAGAAAAATATTTACAATTTTTCTATCCACGATGAGCCAGCATTAATACCATTATGTTTTTCCCCTAAAATAAAAGTTAAAGTGGATACTAAGTTATTGCTGGGGTAGAAAAAGAAAGGGGAAAGTTTGTCAACAAGTACTTTCAGGTTTTTATGGAGGACAATTACATATCCTCCTTAATATTTGTTCATGGTGAGTAAGGAAAGCCACAAAGAAATGTTCATGGCTTCTAACTTACTTTCAAAGAGACTCTGGTCATTAGAGCAACTGGATTCTCCTGAGTGTTTAAAAAAATGCGGAGATAATTTATTACAAATAGATATTGGTTATATGTAATATTCTTAACAGAAGATAGTACTCTAGCTATTTTATGCTTAATTTCTTTTCCCTAATTAAGGACTAATTCAGGTATTTAGAGCCACTTTCTTAAAAAGTAAACTTTTTTTAGAGCAGTTTTAGGTTTACAGAAAAATTGAATGGAAAGTACAGTTTCCAATCTCCCCTTTACCTCCACCGTCCCCCACAGTTTCCCCTATTATTAACATCTTGTATCAGTGCAGTACGTTTGCTATAATTAATGAGGCAATATTGACACACTAGAAGCCTGGTGCATGAAATTCGTGCACGTGGGGGGGGGTCTCAGCTCTGCCTGTGCCCTCTCGAATCTGTTCTGTCGATTTGCATATTAGCCTATTATTATATAGGATTATTGTTAACTGAAGTCCATAGTTTACATTAGGGTTCACTTTTTGTGTTATATGTCTATTTTATGGGTTTTGACAAAGGTATAATGCTCTATATCCATCATTATAGTATCACACAGAATAGTTTTACTGCCCTAAAAATGCTCTCTACTCCCCCTACTCCCCCCTCACTCCCCCTGGAATTGCACGTGGCCTGGTGATGGACATATCATTGGTGCTCTACTGGTCCTGATGGACAGTACTGTACAGAATTGGGCTCTGTTTTATGCTCATGTTAAAATTATTGAGAGAAGAGAGTCATTGTCCAGGTAGGGAACATTTTTGAGTGTTAAGTACCTTATTTGGTCTTAAAATTTATACTTTCATTTGATGCAAAAAAGGCAGAAATCATATCAAAGGCAGAAATAGGGTTACATCTGAACACAGTTAAGTTTCCCTTTGGAAGAAAGCAGATGACTAGATCAGACAAAGGTTTTTATCTTATTCCTATACATATTTGGAACAAGACATTCTCCTTTCATGGAGAAAACAATAAAAGCCCCTGAATACACACCATGGCCAGTATTGCTCAGTGAATAGAGTGCTAGCCAGTGCACGGAAGGGTTTAGGGTTCAATTCTGGGTCAAGGGCACATAGCTGGGTTGCAGGTTCATCCCCAGTCCTGGTCCAGTAGCATGCAGAAGGCAAGCAATCCATGTGTCTCTTTCACATTGATGTCTCTCTCTCTCTCTCTTCCCCCTCCCTTCCACTCTCTCTAAAGAATCAATGAGAAAAATATTCTCAGGTGATGATTAACCAAAAAAAAAAAAAGCATCTAATACATAGCTATAAAATTTAAACGTCATTTAAAATATTTTTCTGCCCTGTACTAAGGCTTATAAAATAGACCCTTACCGCTAGTAGGTTTTTGTGGTCATCTGATTCAATTCCTTGCCTTTAGGCAAAATTACCCACAAGCCCTTTTCAAAAGTGTCTTTTTTTTTTAAGAACTGCTATAGAAATACACTCTACAAAGTTCAAAATTCATTTCATTATTTGATACCCTATGGTGAAAAATCTATCTAAGCACCTACATTTCATGGTGTGATTATAGCTTTACTCCTCTCCTCAATCTTAATTTCTAGGGAGAAAGAACCCTATCTTCTGTATACCAAATTTTCACAGATGTTAAGACTATTGTTGGAATCGCTTCCTTTTTTTTTTCTCTCATGGATAAATGATTCTGGTTTCTTCATCTTTTCCCATCGGGTCTTACTTCCCATTCCTAAATTATCTTTGTGGAAATGATGAGAAAACATGCAGCATAAGGATGACAATTTAATATCATGAAACTGTCCTCCCGTGTACCAGGCCATTTCCAACTTATAAATACCCACAAACCATCATGCGTTCTTCCAAGGAGGACTCGGCCTTAATATTTCTGAGCTTTTGCTAAACATACAATTCCATCAATCAACATGAACGGCTAGCTCTATGCGCTCAGTTGATAACACGTGGTAGGTTATTTTCCTCATGAGGTTTGTCATTTATTGGGAGTGACCTATTACAGACATTTAGCCTGCATAGCACAAACATTCAGAGAAGGAAGCCTTCCCTAGCCGATTTGGGGGGCAGTCCCTGGAGTGTCCTGGAGGTGGCTGGGAAGGTTGGACAGGATATGGATAGGCAGGGAGCGGAGGTGAAGGTAGTCCAGACAGTGAGAACAGCAAGAAGGGGTAAAGCCAGAGAAGCAAATGCCATACAGTGAGGAAGGGAAATGAAAAGGCCAACCGGAGTGAAGCAATGTCGTAAAGTGGAGGCAGAGAAGGTGGGGATTGTGAACACTTTGAAGCCAGTTAGAGGAGCTCATTTGAGGCAGTAACAGACCACAGGGAATCGTGGCAGGCTTAACAACAGTCCTGACTGTTTTCACCCGACTCCTCTTGCAGATGACAGAAACAGCCAGTTTGGGCAGAAAGATAATCTTTTGCTTTATCTATCGGAACCTAGGGAAGGAGAGAAAAATAGCTAGCTGGCTCTCAGACAACCACAACCAAGGATGCAGATACCTGCTCTGTTCTCTTTATCTTTACTTGGTTCTCATATTTCCTATGATATTAGAAGAACCACAGTCAACAATACCTTCTGGTTTGCCTTTTTCTGAGTATCCCATCAGAAAAGAATTGACTTTTTCTCCTAGTCTTCATCAAAAGAAAGAAAGAACAAGATGCTGGGAATACTTCTGATTATCCCAGATTGAAGCATGTACTCTCACCTGTAACCTAGAACCTCATGGTTGAGTTGGAGGCTGGTTGGGAAGAGCAATCCAAAGGAAACATACTGTCTCCAGAAGAGGAGAAGAGGACAGGGCAGAGGAAATAGCAAAGGTCCTCTGTAGTGACATTTATTGATTTTGTTATTGTCACTCTCAACGAATAAAAAAGTAATGCAAGATCATTTTGAAAACTGGAAACCTAGATTATGTTTTACTTTTTTACAAATTGAACACCCTTGATAACTTATTCTTGTGGGGCATGCTAAAAATTCACATCTATACTAATAAAAGGGTAATATGCTAATTAGACCGGATAGACCCGACATCTTCCGAACGTCCTTCCCGGACAAAGCCGCAGTGACTGCGAGGGCCAAGGAGGGCCGGCAGCCATGGTGGCTGCGAGGGCCAGCAGTGGTGGCGGCAACAGGGTGATGGGGGCGGCGACTTCCCCTGATCGGCTGGGTCGCCGCCCACAAAGGGAGGTCAGATTGGGGCTTAGGCGGGCCTAAGCCATCAGTAGGACATCCCCTGAGGGCTCCTGGACTGTGACAGGGCGCAGGGTAAGCTGAGGGACCACCACCACCCAGTGCACGAATTTTCATGCTCCGGGCCTCTAGTTTATTCAATAAAAATCTGAGACACAAACTGTCTGAAAGACTGCCTTAATGCACCACATTCATTGGAATTTTGCACAGTCTCTCTGTTGATTTTGCAATGATATCAGTCTTTTGCTTTCAGCATTCTTTCAGCCTCGAAACCCTGGAGTTATTTGGACTTCTCTTCTTCTTCATGCCTTTGTCCAGTCTGCTACCTACGTAGTCAGTTTTTCCAAATATTTTAATTTCCCTCCTTTCTCATTTCTCATCACTTCATTCCAGCCTTCCAGTTACTTCCCTTACTCCAACTTATTTTTCACAATGTTGCCAGATGTTTTCTTAATCTTGTTTCACATCATCCTTTAATTTGACAAATACTGCTGAACTTTTCTATGTACAAGGTATCATGCATGGAGGAGTCGAACACATGCACAAAAAAATATAATACCGATGTGCAAAGTTTCATGGGAGCACAAAGGTACAGTAAATAATTTTATCCAGAAGAATTGGGGATAAAGGTGGATACAGCTGAACTGTAATGAATAGGAACAGACCAGACAGAGAGAATGGTAATTGCAAAGGCTCAGAATTGGGAAAACGGCTGGTACCTTGAAAAATGGACTTGACCATTTATATCTACTGCACTGATTCTCACGCCTACTACTTGGTCACCAAGGGCTTTCATAATCTATCTTTTTCCCATCTCACTGTCCCTCAACAGACCTCTTTAGCTCTAGTAAAACCATTTCCCCCATTGTTTACCAAAAATAACCTGCTACTTTCTGCTTGACACATTTGCTACAACATCCCCCAGACCTGGTCATACCCCACACTGAAGGAATACTTAGTGGCAGTTCATTTCTGCCCTGTTCTTTCCTATTACAGACATTTTTGAGATGGGCATAACCCATTTATTATTTGGCACTGAACACACATCATTCACTCTTTCACTTCATATGTATAGCTAATACTACTATTAGTAATTTAGTTCTTGAGCTCAAAAACTGACTCAAAAACAACACTCCATAATATGTATGTAATCAGAGAATTGCTGATTCCTGATTGGTTAAATTCCTTTGTGGTCTGACCGTGAACGTCAGAACACTCACAAGGGTGCAGGTTGTAATTACTACTGTTGCATAAGAGTCGGTGTTTGTTCTAAGTCAATATCTGGAAATACCCAGTTCTACAGATTTAGAAGAAAAAAAATGCTCCCCAAATGGCTTATTTGCAAAAAGCATCTACTATAATTTTAAAAATATATTACAAAGGACCTGTAATACTTCATATTTATAGTACACAGGGCTTTGTAAATCTCACTTCTATGAAAGAAACAGAAATACTTTTATAGTCAAAGACCAAGTGTTCTGCAATTGTTCAAGTTCAAGTGGAAGGAGTGAGATATGTGTAAAATGGGCTATGCCGGGCCCTCGCCTCACCTTATATTACTGCCCCTGACTCTGTTTCTCCCCATGGCATTCAGATGCTCAGTGCCAGCTACGTCTCACTTCTTTCATGATGTCATCTTAACTTGCTCCAAACCTAGTCAACTTCTCTCTTCTCTTAACTCCTATTGTGCTGGCAGTCTGTTTCAGAGTTGAGTATTTAGTTGTCCTCTGGCTATTCATGTTCTTCTCTCATCAACAGTTTCTTGAATGCAGAGATCCCCTTTTCAATTAAAATTAACTTTGTTTTTTATTAAATAATATATGCTTTGTGCATTGTTTTCCTCAACATTTTGTTTTAGAGATCTGATTTATTAAACTTCATAAATATTGATATAGTTCATTCATTTTAATTGCCAGTTAAAGAATACAAAATCATCATTTAAAAATAAAAAAATTAAAGAAAGTACTATAACCAACCACTCTGCCATAAACATTTTTGTATTCTTGTTGTATTTGTTTTTTTTAAATATATATTTTTACAGAGAGGAAGGAAGAGGGATAGAGAGTTAGAAACATCAATGAGCGAGAAACATCGATTAGCTGCCTCCTGCACACCTGCTACTGGGGATGTGCCTACAACCAAGGTACATGCCCTTGACTGGACTTGAACCTGGAACCTTTCAGTTCACAGGCAGATGCTCTATCCACTGAGCCAAACCGGTCGGATCTTGTATTTCTTCCTAGATTTTCTTATGTAATGTTTTTTCATGAGTTCATCTTGTGCATAATGTTTGTAATTTTTTTTATTGGTTAATATGTTGTGAACATTTTCAATCAAAATTTTTTTTTCAGAAATCATCATTTTCTTACTCTCATTGCTGGATATTGAGGGAATTTCCAATTATTTGCCATCATCCCACAATGTCTTAGCTAATGTTTTGTTCTTACTCCTTGGAATAAATTCATAGAAGAGAAATTGCTTGATCATGAGATGCACATTTTAAGTTATTTTAATGTCAACGGCTAAACTCCCTCCAGAAAAAGGTTGTGATGATTTATATCCCCACCTGCAGGAAATGAGAGTGTGTTTCTTTCCCTCGTTGTCAATAGGGTGGGGTCATATTTAATGATTAGAGACTATTTCCAGTATTCTCTCATACTCATTAAGTGATCCAACAGAGCTGGGGACACAGTGAGCACTAACAAAATAGTTTTGATAAATTGATTAATAAGTAGTGTTCTTGCCAATACTTATGACTACTGATATTTCAAGTTAATAATTATTCATTCACTCAACATATTTATATTACATGCGATGGTCCTTGTTCTGCATACTGAAAGTGAATCCAGCAGTTAGAAACGAAACAAAATTACTGTGTCATAAATTAAGACAGTGATAACTAGTTTCAAAGGTAATGTGCATAGAAACTACTCTTGAAATGAAAGCTGTAGTGTAGTCCAAAGAAGTCCCTTGGGAACAAACAATTTGTCTCATTTTTCTAAGAATAGGAAGTACTAAAAACGTATCCTTTGGGGACTAGAACTATGAATTTAGGATATGAAACCTTCCCATCCAGAATCAGGGGAATCGTGCCAGAGATGAAGTCAAAACCTGGTGTGGACTTTCATAGTCCTTTCCTTCAATACGAAGGGGTAGGGGGAAATCGACACGAAAATTTCTGGGAAGAGTTTTAATTCCTGAAAGCTTGTTTTACTTAAAGCTACCTCAGGGCTAGGGTGTCTAGATGGATATCCTAGTCACTTAGGTAATTTAATTTTACAAGGCTCCTGCCCGATTATCAAAAGATCATACTAAGGTAATAAGTGGTCCTAACTTTTCCAATGTACAAATCTTTTCACTTTATGTAAAGGAGTAATCATTAAAATGTAGCATAGCTGCAAAAGTTATTGATTTGAAACCTCATTTAAAAGAATATATCCCATAATTCTTTTATAATATTTTTCTCCCTGTGATTGGCTGATGGAGCTAGAATGAGCTTGTAGCTCATAAAGCATTATGTAGTGGAAAGAGAATGTGAGCGGGGTCAGAAGATAGGGATTCTACTCTACTATCTTCCACTAACTTTCGGCAAGTCACTTCATCTCTAGGGGCTATCGTTTCCTCTACCATAAACCAAAATTGTGGCTTAGGTCAGCATTTCCCAAAGTGTAGTCTGTGGAAAACATAACTTGTGAGGTGTTCCGTTAGAAAAAGCATTTCACGTTTCAATGGAATGGACTCCATAGTCTTCCCTCCTTTACCCACTAGACCATGGGCTTTTTGAGAGCAGAAATCACCTTGCACGTCTTTGTCTTTGTATTTCTAGGTCCTGGAGCTCAATAAACCCGTGTGGAATGGATGATTTCATGGTTTGAAGGAACTAATGAGAACTTACTTTTCTCCATGGCTGAAAGTTACTATGTTTCCTTTTCTAATTAGCTTTGACCAACCTAAGCACTGGAAGAAGAGAGAGTTGGCTAAGAGCTATCTAAAAAGCACTCAATGGTCTACTTTTTAAAATATATTTTTATTGATTTCAGAGAGGAAGGGAGAAGGAGAGAGAGAAACATCAATGATGAGAGAGAATCATTCATTGATCCGCTGCCTCCTGCACCCCTCCTCCCCCCACTGGAGGGGGTTGGAGGGAAGGATAGAACTGTGACCTTCTGGTTCACAGGTTGACTATCAACCACTGAGACGCAGGCCACAGGCTCAATGGTCTATTTTTAAAGGAGATTTCGAATGAAGTGAATTATCTTCCTTGCCAGAAAATATGGAAGATAGAAAGATGAATACATAGTTGTAGTACATTTATTGGGGAAGATCATAACTTACTGACATAATTATAGAGATAATGAACGATGAATTCTATAAGAAAGGAACAAAGGCTACAGGAATTGGTCAGCAACACCACCTTCACTTATAACATTATTCTGCACAAGAATATTAAAGCACCTACTCAACTTAAAATACGAAAGTGCATGTTTCTAAAGTAGATAGCTCAAGTGTGAAATGCAGCTCCTGATTGTATTATGTGGTTCTTAATACCAGTTTGAAGCAGACTGTGTACTACTTTGGAACAGATTGTGAAAAAAAAAAAGACCAAAATCACTTGAAAGTCCTCAAGAATAGCAGAAAGAAGTAATTAGCCAAATCAAAATTTGGACCCCGGACAGAGAAATGAACACCCTCGTTCGTAGAAAAGGAGCCAAGATTTCAGAAATGTACAGTCAATTCTTTATTTGTGAAAATTCAAGATACAGATACTTTCACTTCGCAAGCAGATGGAAAGATGTGAAGAAGCAGTGTTTGCTGCAACGAATTCCAGGTCAATTGTGTTAATGCTGTCAACAAACTTGCTTTGCACGTAGCCAGTCAAAAAGGACTGAATTCTTTTTTCTTCCTGCGATCAACTTTAAGAGGTCAAAAATCAAGATATAAATTAGAACTTAGAAGTCAAGCCTGCCTCGAAATAAGCAGTATCTGGGTAACTTAGAGCTAGTAGTATGAAAACGTGCCAACACCTTCCTCCTAAGTAATTTCAAGAGGGGAGTGACAGCTATGAAGAACCCAAGGTAAGCAAATGCCCGAGTTAAAAAGTCCTTCAGGATAACTGCCATGTCCAATTTTTAAAAGCTTCCCAATATAGTGCACAAGCTGTAGAGGGTTGTTGCCCAAAATGAAAGCATTTCTTAAAAAAAAAAAAAAGCCTCAGGTTGCGAGGACAGTGGTCCTTTAAGCGCCTAAGCCGCCTC